GAGAAAACAGAACTGCGGCTACGTCAGTTTTATTGACCGATGCAATTGATAAATAGGCATAAAGATTATAATGAGGGTAAGGGAGAAGCGACAGGGAATCATCTTTTAAAGATCTTAAAATTCAATCAAAAACTAAAAAAATGTCAAGCTGAATATAAACCATGATGAGGAAAGCAGACAATATGTTGTGCTATAACTACGTTCGTTATCATGATTACAATTTGACAATGGCAAAATGTTTTTATAACATGACCCAAATTCCTGTCTAATATTTATTTATTTTTATTTCATTTTATTTTTTTTTGGGGGGGGGGGGGGAGGGGGTCTGCCCCATACCCTCCTAGCCTGTTTATGTCCAATTATGACAATCACTGGTGATTGTACTGACAGAAGGCTAATCATATTGATGATAATTATTGAAAATACTAATAGACCTCATATAAGGCATATAGTTTTTTTTTAATTGGTTTGTTTCAATGCTGAGTACAAGACTGTATCATATGCAGTCATAGAAAATAACAGATATATGCTCAACAAAAGACTGTGTGCTTGTACTATTAATTTGTGTTAGGAGATTCAAAAAGCACTGATAACTTGTACGAAAATTCTGTACAAATTACAATTTGTACACAACATATATGCTCTTTGTTTTGGTTTTTGAAATTTAAAGTGGAAACTTCATGTTTGATAAACAAAATCAAGTTAGAAAATTTAACTTGTATATACTGTATCCTGCTTATTAAGATAATGAATGTCCTTAGCTTTGCAAGCAACATTAATTTAAACATTTATTAAAATACAAGTAGTATGAGTACACATGCATATTCTGTGATATATACACATTTATTAAAAAAAAATCATATTTTTTTCCTTTTGTAAAAGGGCATAACTCTAGAACGGTTAAAGTGATGCAATCAAAATTCGAAATTGATCTGTGTTTTATGATAATTAGCATTGTGCCTATGTTTCCTAACATTTGGTTGAGACAAACTTAAGTTAGAGAATGGAAATGAAAAAGCAGCAATATTTCCATTTGTAAAAGGAGATAACTCTAGACCGGTCAATGTGACGCAACCAAAATTCTAACTTGGTCTGTGTTTTAAAGTTATAAGCACATTTGGTATAGGCAAACTGAAGTTAGAGAACGGAAACGAAAAATTAGCAATATTTCCATTTGTAAAGGTTCATATCTCTAGAACGGTAAAAGTGAAGCCTTCAAAATTCAAACTCGATCTGTGTTTTGTGGTAATTAGCATTATGTATACGTTTCCTAACATTTGGTTGAGTCCAACTAAAGTTAGATATGGAAACCAATTTTGGGACGTACTTACGTACGGAAGGACGTATGGACGGACGTACAAGGGTTAAACTGAATGCCCCCTCCGCTACGGCGGGTGCAATAAAAAAAGTTTACGCAAAACAAATATGACAGACATGAACCAATTGCAACGACAACCATTTATCTACAGGCTTATCAAGAAAATCAATAATTACGCCAATAAAACAATATTCAAAGATGTAATTAATAAGTGTTGAATATGTAACCTTTTAGAATAAGTGTCTTTGGGGGCAAATGAGTCCTACTGATTATTATGTTACCTTATTAGCCAAGGCCAAAAATTCATGTTATTCCAACGTAATCAAAACATAAAGTAGATGAAAAATGAATGCTATTCAACTTGGAATCATTATTTTTTCTTTCTTTAAAAGACGTGTCGGAAATGAAATCTGCCCTAAAAAGGTCTAAGGAAATGTTCCTGGAAAAGGTTTTCCCTACAGAAGAAGAGAAACTATCTATAGCTTGTAGGGGGATGAAGCTAAAAACCATAAATAAATGGTTCATTAATTATAGGTAATTATCAGTTGGCAATTAATTGTTTTACTTATAAGTCTTCAATCACCATGTTTTCAAATCAAAATGTTTAACATTGGATATAATCAAACATCACAAATGCAAATCGAAATTTACAGAAAAGTGATAGAAAATAATAAGTTATGGTTGTCAAGTATCGCTACCCCCGTTTCATTTGTATGCACTGCAATACACGTGAATGAAATAATTGGGTTAAAAAAAATTGAAATTCAGACTAGAATTCAGTTTGTGAGCTAATCGTTAGACTTTACAAATTAATTACTCTAAAAGACTGAGTTGCTCACCTAGGTCTGTGTGCATCTCTTACAATGGACACTAATCCAACATTGTACACTAGAATCGAATTCATGATAAAAATCTCTTTTCTGGAGATCTTCGTATTTCTTTTTATTTTTTTCTGTTAACAGTTTACCTATCTTCTTTAGTTTTTGTAAAACAACACAAAAAAAATAAAAAAAAATTAAGGGCAATCCATCCTTTTCAAAGTCTACTAATTACTAGTAGTATTTTATAGATCTTGCCATGCTGAACATTTTTTTATCTTAAGTGTCATGTGGTTGTATGTAATGAAATGATACATCATATTTATCTTTATATTAGCTGATTCAATTTATCTTTCCTAGTTTTCAAGATAATAGGCAAAAATGTTATAAAAACAATGGTAGTCATTTAATGGCTTGACCTAAATAAAACAACAGCTCTATCTGTGGGAGATAAAAAGGGCTACGGAGAAAGCACTTATTTTTCAAACACATAACCTTTTAGTTACTGTCGCCAGTGAGCATTGTTATTTTTTGTCAAAAATTGATTGATAACTGAATATTTTTTTCAGATACAGTTTCTTCAAAAAAGCTATTACAATAGCAAAGTTAGAAATAACCAAGGATTCATCGAAAAGAGACATTACAAAAATTTCAAAACTGCATTATAAGGATTGCTTTGCCTGTGTATCAAAAACTCTATCTAAAGCTGCCAGAAATCAACTAAGAAAAGGCTTCCAGGCTTGGAAGCATGGTTTGGAGAATGCCATCAGCCCAGAGGAGGCGTTAAAAAGATCTGTTCAATAGAAGAGTGAGAATTTTTTTTTATATATATAACAGATTGAATGCATGTTTGGTTTCTCCTGTTTCTTTTTTTTTTCGACAATTGCAAAGAAAATGCAAGCAGCGTGGTCTTTAAAATCTATGAGGATAATATATGAAATCCCCTAAAGACCCTCGGTCTGTGTGCATCTTCAACAAAGGACTCTCTCCACACTGTGGACTCCGATATAATTCTATGAAGAAAACACATTTTTGTTTTTTTAAGTGTCTGTTCATCTTTTTTTAGGTTTTGATACATTATTTAAATTTGAAAAACTCATAAATTGGTTAAAATCGCCATAAACTGAACCATTTATATAAGGTCAAGGTCAGATGACACCTGCCAGTTAAAGTTGTACAACGTACAATCATTCCATACATTAAATAAAGTAGACCTATTGCTTAAGGTATCTAAGATACGGACTTAACATCGAAAACTTAACCTTGTTCACTGATCCATATAATAAGGTCGAGGTCAAGTGAAAACTATCTGACGGGTTGAGGACCTTGAAAAGTAAGCACATACCAAATATAGTTAGCCTATTACAATTAACTCAATATAAGAGAGAAATTAGGTAACTAAAACCTTAATTTTTTAAAGTAGTCATTGAAATATGAAAATGAGGTCAAGGACAATGGACAGACAGAAACTTCATAACTAACGAATATGAGGCATCTATATACAAAGTATGAAGGATCCAGGTCTTCTACCTTCTGAGATTTTAAGCGTTTAAGGCCACCGCCGCCGGATTACTATCCCTACATGTATGTCGAGCTTTCCGCGACAGAAGTCGCATGTTGAAGAAAAAAATGCATCATTAGCTCTAAAGTGTACAATTCTTGCCAGAATTTTATGAATCTTTTATCATGGGTTAATGGTCCGAGTACACAGTTATCGTCCTTTGATTTTCGTTGTCCACGAATAAAGTCCCTAGTGTGGACAGTGTGTTGCTTGCCATTTTTTTTAGTACCCCTTCCAAATGTATTCCTTCATGTTTTATGCCTCAAATAGCAAGTAGGGGGATGAAATTACACTGTAAGAAAATTTGGGTCATGAATTGTAAAGTAAAGTAGTGATTTGGTCCAGCTGAAAAAGGTTAAAAATTAGCACTTCGGAAGCTGTCAAAAGATTTCAAGACCCCCTTAACATAGAATTGTCCATATTTTGAGTTAGAGCCGATGAAGTTTTCTATAATATTGATATGATTTGTCCCAAAAGTAGTACAACACACTGTAAAAATATTATTGAGAAAGCGCAGGTGGGTTTTTTTTTATTTTCATTTATTGTCTAAAAGAAATGCACTACGAAATAACTGTGTACTCGGACCTAAGAGGCGAAATCAGTAAATATAGAATCTGTACTTTGGCAACTTCCCTGAATGATTTAATGGTGTCAATTTGTCAGATAGCATGAAACTAAAGGATTTAAACTTTTATTTGATAGAAATTCTGCAAAAATTACCCATTTTGGCATTATATGGTCAAAATAAGCATTTCAAAGCTTTTTCAATTTTGATGCATAAGTGGCGTTCTGACTATCTATGTGACAGGTTTTCCTGTGTCAATATTTGTGTTTCTATGCTTTAACCCAGTTGTATTACTCATTTGTGAACTCTGAATCTACAGAAAATAAGATTATCTCAGACAATATGTGCAAAATGTGTTGTATAAATGACCCTCGTGTAACGGCCTGTTTGGATCAAGTTAAATGTGAGGACCTAGGTACATAAAAGTTGAAGTCCATAATAAAGATTTCACTAAATTTGTATTAAAAGCACTTCACAATGTCTTTTGTACCTGTTTCATTTCACATAGTATCTTTCTTTTCTTATGTTAAATAGCAAGTGGTTCAAATATAAGCCTGCTGAGGCTAAAATTGAATGCAAGTTTTTCACTAAAAAGTGAAAAATCTTTGTATCAGACCATACTGTCTGCAAA